TGCCATCTGTCTAGCTGTTCTTCAGTTGTACAAAAGAGTTGTCCATCCTTGGGTTTATGAGGTTTCTTAGACAGAGTTGCATGCCCCCCACTAAATCAAGATGTGGTGTCATACAGAGTTATTGATTTATGTTTTTTATTTCATTACCATACCCTAAAAAATCATTACCAGGTAACAGTTTCATTACCGTAACTAAGCTTTATTTATTTGTGTTAGTATCTCCTTAAATCCTAGTTCTATCAGCGTGCCTTGCACACATGTGATACATTAGGTTATAGTCTCTCGTTACCTACGCAAAATTTTTATTTTAAACGTATTTTTTTACCCTATTAAAAAATTGCGCAAATATTGCGCCTTTTGAAGATTGACCCTGGTGCAGCCTTTTAGTGGCATTGTACAAACAGCTTTGTTTTTAAATGGTAGCACAAGCGTAAAGTGAAGTTGTTTTATTATTGAAAAAATTATATTATGTCTGTAACCTTTCATTCAACCTATCTACAATAGCCTACTGGCGCATCAGCGCCAACTTGATAAGAAGTAGATTGAAGTGGTCGCCATGGCCAAAATCGGTCGAAGAGATCATCATATTCAAAGCAGCAAATTATCTATTATAGGAAATATTTTACTGTTGAACATTTAAATGTTGTAGCATAATGGTATCTTTCTTTTGTGAGCGCCTCCCGATCCAATTTGAAAACCAGATTGTCCCAATATTTATAAGAATTCCTTTCTTTGTTTCAGGTAAATATTTATTCTCTTTCATCTATAAAAAATATGCAGAACGTCAAAGAGAGACTATACAGAAGTTGAAAAAATGGTAAGTAGGTAATAAAATGAGTAAGTAACCAAATTAACAAATTCCTATGGTTTCAAATACGCCAAATGTCTGCACTACGTCAAAGGTCCACAGCAAGGTAAAAAATTTAAGAAACCTGGGTATAAACGGTCATTCTTAGTAGGTAATTGTATGTATTTTATTATAAGAAAAACCAGTACAAGTTGAAACCTTAAAATATACTCTCGTATCGGCAAGTGGTGATCCGTTGTCATATCCCTATAACTTGTGAATGAAAGTGCAATTTGTGAATATTCTATACCTAATGGTGAAATATGACAACTTGCGTATTACCATTTTAATTTAGTAGTGAGGCTATGGGGTACAAACTACAGAGTTTACAGAAAGTTCACTCGACCTATGTAGGATTTCCGCGATTGTAACTTGTTCCATAGCCAGGGTTGCTTCTGTCAAAAAACTCAAATTGAATATCAAAACAGCAAAATCTGATACAAGAATGTTATATGATTCTGAGAAAATCTTGCTCCAAGAAATATGACCTTCATGGCTATCATCTTCTTAGTTACCTTGATTTCCTCTGAGATCATTTGAGATCAAAATCGTCGCTAGTACTAAGTGAGTCATCTTTAAAGGCGCCCCGCGCGCTGTCGGTCCCCCTAATTTGTGGTAGTGTCATACTTACACTGTCTAAAATGTCACGACAAAATTAATAACCTAACCTAACCCATCGTACGTGAGGTCAGGGTTTGACCGCACCTTGACAGGTTAAGGCACGCAGAGGGGTGCTTATCTGTCATCATCACAATCCCGTATAATAACAATATTATTAAAATAGTAGCGTGAGCTGTCATTTTAGGTATAGTACCGAGAACCAAAACCGCATAGCTCTACAAGCTAAACTAAACAACATTTGCTAAAACACACAAAGGGTAAATCGAGTAAATCCTAACAAAATAGTAGAAAATTACTCGTATAGCTGATTTTTCATATGGGAGGTCAGTTTTTGTATATGTTGACCATTGGTCCTTAAGGAAAGTGGTTCAGTTTGCCGATATTCGAGAAAATCGGTAGTTCGGAAGACGGAACCTAATTTAATTTGTGGAACGGTATTTAATTCGTGGAGCTTCGTATTGTTAGAATGTGACATCAAAGGTTATCCTCCGGAGTTGTCATATCTCTACAATCATAAATGAAATCCGTGAAAGGTAGGTAAAGTAAAATCCGTAATCCGTAGGTTGGTGAATTGGAGTCAAATAAAATTGATTTAGTCAGTCATTTATGATTTTTGTTGTGTTAATATTAACAAAGTCATACTTACTAATAAACGTGTGTTTGCAACAACAATTGTAATCCGTTCAATTTTACTTACACAAGTATCCACAAACTCAAAACACTCTAACATTCTGACCCATGGGTCAAAATTGCCCATTTGTTCACACCCACGCAAACTGGCACACCTACACGACATTCTTTATCAATGGACGCAAATCATAAACGACAATAATTTACAATTTAAGCACGTTTTTAAACATGATAGTAATCTTCATAAGCTGGTAAAAGCCATGGTAAAGTGCATTTAGATATGCCAGGATAACATAGCATAAACGCCTACTAGCTGACTCCCTCGACGACGTTTTACGTCTCAATGGATAGCGTTCTTAGTTTAAAAATAACTCATAAAAATAGGTTGAAGAACGTTTTTCGAAAAATGAGATTCGCTAGACCGTCCCCGAAAAGCACTGCATACGACATTTCCGTTTCCGAGATCTAGATTAAATTTTTGCCCGTATTTTGCCTGCTGTTTTGGTTTCTAGTAAAATGCTCCACGTTGTCACTATCAGTTAAAGAAATATCATCAGGGCACACAGCTACTACTTTGATAGCATTTCTCCTCCTGTCTGTCTGTCATGGATGTCGCTTACTGTTCCTAAGCCACGCAACGGATTTTGATACGGTTTAATGTATTAAAAAGTTATTTAAGAAGATTTATATGTATAATTATGTATATGCCAGGAAACATCTTATTCCCACGGGAAAAGGCATCGGTTGCAACTACTTGGTGGGCCGCTTGTCATTAATCAAATAATATCAATACATAGTATTAGGTATGAAGTCGCTATTCCTGTGTTTCTTTCTTTCTGTCTGTCATGGACTCTCTGCTAACTCCTCCTAAACTACTACAATTTGGTACGGATTTTGATGTGTTTTTTAGATATTTATAGGAATGTATAATACTTATCGGGAAAAATGTTACCAGCGGGTGCGACCGCTAGCCCGGGCTAGTTATGAATTCTTTTACTCATCAAGTCGATGCGCAATAATTATTTTATTAATTATTAATATAAATAAGTTGTTAATTATTAGGTTACCCTTTATTATTAATTGTCATAAAAAAACGCAAAATGCAGGATGTAATTTTCTAGCCGATTCTGTGTGAATGCAAGTGGGGTTCAACATTATTGCACCTCTTAGATAGGTATCGAAAGTCACAACCTCGGAATGTCACAACCTTAGTCACAACACATTTATGTATAAACATACATAAATGTGTTGTGACTAAGGTTGTGACATTCCGAGGTTTGATAATTTGGTTGTATTTGTTTCGATTTTTACCCGACTGCCTCAGAAGGAGGGTTATATTTTGGAGGGTATGAATGTAAACTAGTAAATTAGTTTTTAAGGCCCAAACGACTAGGCGAATGTTGACATATGAGGTGTCGTTACATTTGTGTCGTACTACTTGCTTATACTCTTTTAAGGACGCATTATACAAACCTATATGATACAAGTACACATACGTACTAAACACCATAACAGCTAAGTAATCATAAACCCTAAGTACGAGTAGCCACCTAATAGAGGGTTTTTAGTACTATGTTACCAACTGCACAACTCTGTATTTTTAATTATAGTACATGTAAAAGTTGATAGAATAATCGAGTGCGAATCGAGTCAGCTGCTGTTTCACTCGAGCCCTAGCCAAACACTTGCTTACCCGTGTTTAACCGAAATTAATCACCATGTCTACAACTATTGAGTTTTTGAGTAGTTTTGACCATAATTTACAATCGTGGAAAGAATCCTACAAAGGTCAAATCACTGAATATTTCGAAGCGAACGACATCAGTGCTGCTAAACGAAAATCAATTCTGCTAAGCGCCCTCACCGATGGTACCTACCGACTAGTGGCAAACCTAGCAAAGCCTAAGGCGATTGAAGACGTTCCCTATGAAGATATCATTGGCCTTCTGGATAATTACTTGAGTCCAAAGCATGTAGGGTTTGGGGAGCTCGTGGAAAGCCAGCGCTGATGATGCAGTCAGTGCCAAGGGAGCTGCTTCGGCTGGTAGGTAGCTCATGACTCAATGTAGTAGGTACTACGGCATTTGTATCACCCCCAAGTGTGTTCCACGATCTTCGTTGTTTTCGAGTGCAGAATTAACAAATGATAAACACTTAAGTCCAAGGTCTGTAGGTAGGGTATGGGGAACTCGCGAAGAGCCAGCGATGCCAACACGCTGATGCAGTCAGTGTGAGGGTAGATGTTTCGGCTGGTAGGTAGCTCAGCACTCAGGAATCCGAATCATCTTCACATTTATCCGAATTACACAAAATGCACCGTGCAATGCGGACGCGTTTGCTGACGTAAATATTTTTTATAATTAATTTTGTATAAGCGCAGTTCAAATTATGCCTGTTGGGGCTCAAGATAAGTATTCTTGACCAACGGGGATCAAGATGAGTGAAGTGTTCTTGACCAAATATCTGCTTTCGTTGTATATGTCTTCGTAAATGATGAAAGGTCAAATTATGCAAGTTTTTCTTAAATGTCTTCGTAATTTTTGTGAAGTTATTCTAAAATATTTGAATGCCTGCGTACTAAAAAGGTCTAATAATTATTGTGTAACTGTTTAAGTTAAACAGTTATACAATAATTGTGTAACTGTTTAAGTTAAACAGTTATACAATAATTAATAGACAGCACCCCTTAGTTCTCTTATCATCACCATCTACTTAAACCTATCTTCATAAACCTGCCCATTACCAGATTGGACGAGCTATGACAATATCATTAGTGTTGTGGAGTCTTGGTGTGTAGTTTATTACTAGGGTAGGTCGCGGATGATTTGTGGGTTCGTGTCAAACCAGGGCGGTGCTAGTTTGTTAAATTATTTACAAAGCCTTTTTAGGAAAACTGAAGTGAGTCGCTGTAGCCTAGTTGGTAAAGGCGTCGCGAGTACAGATGGCCAAGGTCGCTGGTTCAAATCCAGCCTGCGGTAAAATTTTTGCAAGTTTTCCTAAATTGGATACCTAACACAGAAAGGGTTTTTAAATTTTTGTATTCAATTTACAAATCCCTATGTATATTTTGCTTCGTCTTTCACGGTACACAATTGATAAAATATCATCATGTAAAAGGAGTTTTACATTATCTCTACCTACAAGTCTATAGGTATTCAATATACGAACCTATACGCTGTATCTCACGTGTTACTTAAAATTCTTACCTAATTAAGCAGAAATTATGACTGTTTAATGTTCTTCCTCATTCGGAAGGCATCGTAAACATCCAGGGCGCGACTTTAATGCCTCAATGTGTTTATTTATTTACTCTTAACGACTTCATAAGATTCTAACTTATGCGTCTTAAAGAAGGTAACTTCGAGTAATAAGTTCACGGTTTGAGTTTTAAGAAAATTCACGCAATATTATGTAGAGACTTCCCCAGTTCGGTTATTTTTTGGACACATTTTCCTTGTGTCTGATAAAAGAAAAGGAGATGTCGATATAATCAACTTATGAGAATTTTGTAATAAGTAATACATACCTAAGTGTATTCAGTTTCATATCATCATATTAATCATCATGACATAAAAATCGCATAGTTGGGTCAAAAATTAGGAAAACGGCGCGCGGTGGTTGAGTTGAGCTTTTTTGAAACTTACGGATTCAAATTCATTTTAGCATTCTTTTGACATTTAGGGTAACTACCTATGCGGCAATTATTATTAAATTACTTTTATCATTATCATACTCATTATCATAGCTCATTTAACTTAATCTTATTTAAGAGCATGACAAAAGGGATCATAAGCTTTTACGAAAACTCTCATAATACGGACCCAAAGAAATGGATTTTGGGAAGATTGTCAAAATGTGGGATGCAAGCGTAAACCTAAAAGTTTATTATATCGGGGGCATTGACCTTAATATATCATCCGCATATACACCATAACAAGTCCAGGGCTGGCTTCGGGCGGTTTTGCATACCCATTTAACATAACAGTCTATCAACGAATTATTAATTTCAGAACGTATTTGTAAATATCCTATTTTCTACCTCTTCTAGAAAATATCTACCTAGGCATTAAACTCTTTTATAAGGTTCTAGGTTTTGTTTGGAACCACTATTTATCCTACTTGAAAGTTTAAAATATGGTTTTCGTCAGAGATTTTTGTATCTCGAGCGACCGTACGTTCAAACCTACCTAGATGGCCGGAGAAAAGTCATTCCACCAAAAAATATGGAAGAAATGAAAGGGAAAAACCTGAAACGTCCAACTTTTTATTCCTTCTACTTTTTTACGGGAGTGTAAAAAAGTTCCGATGGTGACCCAGTCAAGAACAAACATTTCAAGACTCAAAATTTAAAAAAGCATGCGCTCGCCTTCATCCATCCCTGTCTTCAATATCCACTGCGAAGGCGATCGAGTATAAAAGTTCAACCATAGATTTACGTACTATAAATGTAGGTCGTCGACCGGGTTACGGCTGCGTCTACGCTGGCGGGACTTAGAGCTTGGTATACCTATCACTCGCAAACCGCTTGTGCGAACTGGAAAAATTTAGATCGCAAGTTTTTTTCTTTGACGGATTATCTGGCGTCGCTAATCCGTCAAAGATAAAACGAACTCGGACCTTACGAGATCAAAGAAGCATTAATGCTGAATGGTATGTTACGAAGTGCTTGCCAGAAGTTTTCACTGCTGTGAGCATCAAGCGACCCAACACCGGCCTCCGTGAGCTACTGCTACACCACGACAACGCACACGCGCACTCGGCAATCAAAACAAGGGAGTTTCTGGACAGCACACCGGTCCAACTCATAGGTCATCCTCCTTACAGTCCTGAGGCACCGTGTGACTGATTTTTGTTCTCGAAAATAAAAAGCCAACTCAAGGGAATACAGTTTCGTCACCGGAAGATGCTCTGGCTGCATGAAGAAGGCTGGCTCGCTGCTGAAGGCAGTCGAAGAGGTGTCTGAAGAGGAGTGAAAAAAGGTTTTCAGAATTGGTTTAGGTTTAAGAAACTTTGTATATATGCAGACGGAGAGTACTTCAAAAACATGTCATAAAAAAAAATCGGTAGATATTTTTGTTTAGAAAATCTACCTTATATAATTTCAGATCCCAAATATATGAAATTGTTGAGACAATTTCTATGGCCAGTTGGAATATGGCCTGGCAGCGCGTTTGGTGAAAAAGTACCATTCTATGTAAATCTGCATCGAAAAATTGTCTTGTTTATATATACAATGAATTTTTTCGGCGAGCTGGTTTTTTTGCATAAGTATTACGATAACATGAACTTCTTTCAGTTTGGATACATTTCCTTGGTATGGTTATTAACATTAATAGGAATTGTAAGTATTCATTTTTGTTTCTTCCGCGATACGTATGTTCTTTATATGTAGATTCGTTAAAAGTAGTAACTTTACTATGTTACAGATTAGAATAAGTCTTGCTTCACTCAAATTCTTCGGAGAAATTGTGAAAAAACTGTTTTCCTCTTTTCATTTGGCCCACAACAATATTAAAGGGAAATACGAAAAACAGGTATGACCCAGATATTTTGAACTAACAACTACACAGATATACTATTATTTTATATAATGAAGGATATAAAAAATACAAATTCAAAAAAGTTTTCAAAGAGGAAGAGCCTATGAGAAGCCATTTCTCAAAGTTTATTGCTTATTGTCACAGGACAATTGATTGATTTAAAGAAATGTGATATATAGAAACTCCGTACTTTTCCTAACAACCTGTAAAGCTTTTATTATATTTAACTTACTAATCCGCTATTTAAAGGGCTTTTTCTCAAACATGCTAGGAAATATGACAATTTCTTTCAAGAAAAAATCCAGAAAGTTTGACATTGTCTGTGAATTTGTAATTTCTGAACGATTTCTTTTTTACACACCAGCAATGGATTCCAATACAACTTTTCTGGCGCGATATCGAAATCGTTCAGAAATTACAATATAAAAAAAGAATAACTCCTAATCCACATCTTGACTTAGTAATCAGTAAAACAACTTTTTATATCAAATTACTATAAAATAAATTAAAATCTTTATAATTTCCTAGCATTTTTTGAGAAAAGCACTATGTAAGCCTCGGGGAAAATGACTTTGCCAGACTCGTATTTTTAAAGTCCTCGCCTGCGGCTCGGACTTCAAACTCTACTCGTCAGTCAAAGTCTTATTTCCCGTCCTCGTCAACAACCTACTATTATTTTTAGGTGTACAATGGTGTCGAAAAAATTTCTTACTTTTACACTGTGGTTATGATCACATTGACTTTCATTGGACTAGTCTTGTTTAGTCTTCCTCCTATATATTTGAACTACAAAAAAGGGTTCTTTCGTGGGCAACAAGCAGAAAATGCAACCTATAACTGTATCGTATGCTTAACTATACCTAAAGTAATGGACACAAGTGAATATTCTATAGCACTAACGATATACACAATTTACCTTATATATCCATGTGTAGTATCTATCGCAGGCATCGATATTTTGATAAATTTAATGGTTTTTCAAATAATCGGTCATGTTCTGATTTTAAGAAAAAACTTAGTAACTCTGGCTACATGCAAAGAAATTATTGGAAATCAGATATATCATAAAGCTAATAAAGAATCTCAGCACATTATGTACAGTAATGCTGAAAACAAAGTGATCCATGAAAAACTTACTGAATTTATTATTCATCATACAAAGATCATCAATTTCACTGAAGAAGTATCAACGTTTTTTGGCCCGCTCCTTGGGATCACCTACGGATTCCATCTCGTATCGTGCTGTCTTTTACTTCTGGAATTCTCAGGTGTGAGTAATTGTATTGTTTGGTACGAATGAACAGTATAACATAAAAATATACACACAGATTAAATTTACTATCTGTTTGAAAACTCTTGTCTAGAGCTAGCTTCCACCCAAACTAATTTAACCAGTGTTTTTTGCACTGTAGACTTTGACAAGAGAATTAAAGGCTAAATGCTAACTGAGCAGGTACTTTATTTTGCCTTATATTTTACAGGGCGCTGATGCAATAATCCAGTTTTTACCTTTGACTGCCTACGTATTTTCACAACTTATTTCGATATCAGTCATGTTTGAAACTTTATCAACAGTGGTAAGTTTCGTTTATTAAACACATCTAAATATTTATTTTCATAAACTTATGGACAATTTTCTATGGGCATAGCACCAGATTGCTTGATTCTATTTTAGATATGTTATATAACAATATTATGTTGTTGGCAGTGTACTAATGTCAACAATCAAATATATCAAAATAAATTATATTTTTAGAATAGTGCAAAACTTGCCACTAAGTAATAAAATTGATAAGCAGCTTGTAAGAGCCTAATTAACGACAATATTGAAATACAGATGAAAATCAAATGTAAAAAGTGTTATTAAAACTTATTATTCTAGAGTGAAAAATTAAAGGACTGTGCCTACTTCACTCCCTGGGAGCACATGGACTCGAGGAACCGGCGGACTGTGCAGATGATGCTGACCAGGATGCAGCGGCCCATCAGAGTCACTGCCCTAGGGTTGGCAGATGTCGGAGTCACGACGATGGCACAAGTACACATTAAGTCGTTCTATTAAAATAAAATATTTAAAAAGAAAACAATAAAAGCATATGAAAAGTGCATATCTATGAAACTTTGCGCGTACAGAACCGTACCCGACGATATAATCAATAAGTTATCGAGTCTCTGACACAAACGATACAAATTGTTTTATTTTTTTTGTTTAACCTTTATTACAAATATTATCATATTTAGCGCAATATTTTCTTCTTTGCTTTTCTGTTACAGATATTAAAAGCAACGGCATCATACTACACATTACTAAGATCAATTAACGAGTAACGATTTAGATGAGAATAATACAAAAAAGACAAGACGGCATGAACGTGGACAACACTCACGAAAATAATATAGGGTGTAATGTAACAAATACTGAAAACCAGACACTCAGG